ACTCTTTCAGCTTGTTCTAGGTGTCAGTCTGTTGTCCTCTGGCTTTAGTGTTAATGTTGAGGAGTTAGCAATCAAGGAAACTGGTGTGCGTGCATATGTACATACATACATGTGTGTACACATAAACACCCCTTTCTTCCATATGCTTGAGAATGACTTGCTTATTTGTCCAACATGGAATTGATTGTGTTCTGGTGTGTAAATGTTTGAGGGCCCTGACACTGAGGAACATAACCTAGGGATCAGATTCTGTTTCCTTGCTCACCACCCCCCCCCACCCCCATGGCTTTGAATTTGATCTGAAGTCACTTTTTTATGAACAGTAGAGGAAAATGAAGGCTCACAATTGAGGGTAGGTATGGTGTTAGGGTAGGGTGATAACCTCAGTGTGTCTGTACTTGCAGTTGAAGAACGAGAGGAGGGAGGAGAGGTAGTGCAGGGACCCTTGGGGATGGAAGGAGTCAGAGGGACCTCTGCTCTCAGTTGTATGGACCACTGCCTCAGGGCACACCCATTGTAGTAGCTAAGGGCAAAGCACAGCTGCTCCCTGAAAGCTGCACTATTGTTGAGGTATGTTCATACACGAATATCTGAGACTTTGGAGACCAATCCCTTCTCTGGTGACAGGAAAAGAGAAGGAACAGAAGGGAGAAAAAAGACAGGATGTGCAAGTGCTTGGACACTGACCCTAGGCCACCTTTGCCGCTCCTGTGAATCATGGCTCTCCTGCATCGTTGATGGTTAACTGTGAGGCCGATGGTTCTGAAATCCATTTCTAGACACTGTCCTAGTTGAGATTCCTCTTCCACCACAATTTTATCCTGATGTTCTGGTTTGTTCTGTCTGTTTGTCTGTCATCTATCTGAGACAGGATTTCCCTATGTAGCTCTGGCTGTCCTGGAACTCTGTGTATGCTGGCTTTAAATTGACAGAGATTTCCCTGCCTCTGCCTGTGATTAAAGGTATGTGTGCCATTGTGGGCCTGGTCTGAAGTTTGATTTCAGTGAGACCTTTCTTGTTTGTTTTTCTTTGGAACAACATCTAATATGTTGTTCTAACAACATCTAATGTAGCCCAAACTGGCCTCAAACTTGGTATGCATTTGAGGCTGGCCTTGAGCCTCTGATTCTCCTATCTCCACCTCTTGAGTGCTATGACTATAGGCATAAGCCACCACATATGGCCTAGTATAACTTTTTGTTTGTTTTTTTGACACAAGGTAGTCTTCTGGTCCTACCTTTACTTCCTTAGTGCTGAGATTATATGTATAAGCCACCTCATTTGGCCTAATATAGCATACATTTATTTGTTATTTTGAGATAGAATTACCTAATTGTGCTTCTCCTTCCTCCTTGCTGGTATTACAGGAGTGTGCATCATGCCCAATTATGTAACTTATAAAATATGCTGTGGCATACTTGTACTCCTGGAGCCCATACTAACCTTGTTGGTGTCTCTCAGCCTGGCAACAGCCCAGAATAACTTTCCAGTTTCCAGAATACTCACTTGTGTTTGGTAGCAGCTTACCCTCTGACCTGTGTCCTGTGTCATGTGCCATGGGCTAATGCCATAATCTGTATTTAATATTATTCTGTTGGTATGGCCAGAGACTGTCCAGAAATGATGTAGCTCTACCATTCCTTTGCTTGCTTCTATCCACTGTGTGCTCTGATTCTCTCCTCAGCACTGGAGCCTGTACTTGTAATATCTCTTCCTGTGGGTTTCACATGTCAGCTTCCCCCTGGAAACTGGATGAAACTTAATTCTTGGGTTCTTTGTACCATGGTCTTATGGCACTGGCCTGGGGAAGACACTGCATCAATGATCCCTCTTTTACCATTGCCCATCTTCTGGCTGGCACTCTAGAGAGGCAAAAGGGCCCTTCCATGCATGTAGCTTGTTCGGAGTTCTGGCCATCTGTCTTAGAGGGATCCTCAGGTATTCAGGAGATCCATGCCAGCCTCTGGTAACTAGACTCTGAACATGTAATTCATGGCTACCTTCTTCATAAATCCTTGTGAATGAGTTAGAGGCTTTCTTGAATGGTTTGGATACACACCAACCCACTGCGGAGGTTGAATATAAATGGGCTCCAGAGCATCAAAACTACCAAGTTATAAGAGATTCTGCCACCTGTGGTGAGTATGGTATACAAAGACTTTGTCCCATCTGTAGTCCATAGATAGCTTAGGGCTCTCTGGTCCTTCCTTGCTAGCACTATCCACTACTGTAGCTCATTGCTCACTACCTGGTGTGCATACTCTTAGCCTTGGAGCAGAGCAGACAGACAGGTCACTACTTTGGCCACCTCCTCTTCCATCATTCTGAAGATCTCTGTCCATATGACAAGCTATGGCACGTTTTTGCAGTAGCTGGGGCTGAAAGACAGTTCCACTGGGAATATAGCTAATTTACTTCCCAGGTCAGAGCTAAACTCAGGTTCTCATTCACTTTGTGTCTGGTCTGTTCTGTGTTCAGAGAGCAAGCAGGTACATCTTTTACCTTCTCCACCTTTGCCTTTCTGCCTAGATCCTGTGGCTTGGCCATAGGTTTTGTGGTCTGATCTGTGTACTTATGGGTCAGCTCAGGAGGAACGTGAGGCTGATCCTGATTCTACTCTAGTTCTTTCTCCTTCCCTGGGTAGGGGTTACACACCTGAACTGTCCTGTCATACCTCCTAGCTCTAGACACTGACTCCTGCCTTCACTCACCCTCTGCCCTGAGCCATTAGGACTCCATCTCGGGGCCGGTATGTTCACAGACCCGAACCTGTTACAAAGCTAAAGGGAGCTTGTTCCATGAGTACTAGGCAAATGTGGACCTGTTAAAGTGTATTAGATCCCCTGCAGGAAGCTCCTCCCCCTGGATGGCATTAGAAGATCCAGGGAATTATTTAGGAACTCTTCAGAAATAAGAGCCTGTCCGTCTTAGGCCAGTTGCCTGCACAGGATGGAGAGCCTCCAGGAGTCCAAGTCATATTTTACCCCAGGCCCTTGCACACGTACCATGGGACTGCTTCTGTTTGCCACCTTTTTCTAGTGGGAGCTCTAGTGACTTCAACTGTGTGTGTTTGGGTGTGGGAACACATTAATGCAAGAAAGTGCTGCTTGCAGGTTTGTCATCTTCTGCATTCACCCATGGTAAGTGTTCCCACAGCTGTTGTTCAGGAAGTGTGGTGCATGTGGCTGGCTACATTAAGTTGTATCCTGAGGTTGGTGGGGGTGGGGAGCTCAGAAGGGTCTTTTCTCTTGTGGAAGCTGCTTGTGAGGAAGGAAGTGGCTGTGGCCTCATTACAAGGCTAGTTCTAAGGGCAAATCAGTCAGAGCCTTCAAGTCTGTAATGAGCTATTGTTCTGAAACAAGAGTCACTACATGGGTGTTCTGGGTTCAGGAGAGCTGTATGCCAAGGTGTATGATACAGTGGAAGGATGAGCCTGAGAAGAGTTCTGGGCCTGGGCTCCTTTTCTTCTCTTCTCCCTTAATGCAGTGCTGCCCTTTCTAATCATGTCCAGACCGTAGCTGTATGGGATTTTAATGGAGCCCAAAAAGAAGGGCACAGCCCTTGATGTGGAATATGTTGCCCAGGCCACAGAATCAGAGGATGGCGTTGATGGCATCAGCTTGTGGCCCTGTTCCTACTCTCCTGCCTGTAGCTCTTCCTTCCTGTCCAAGCATTTGATGAGCTTTATTTCTGAATGTGGTGCTGGGAAGCAAACTCAGGGCCTTATAAGGTGGGCACATACTTTACCACTGAACTATACAGTGTCCCAAACATCGAAGTCTTAATATTCTCTTGTAAGTATTTCAGTGTACACCTCTGAAAGATGAAGAGTGGTTTTGTTTTTTGTTTTAAAGTAGTGTCTCAATTTGTCACCCAGCTTGGCTTTTAAATCCTGCCTCTGCCTACTAAGTGCTGGAATTGTGGATGTGTGCCACCACTCTAGTTACAAGAAGTCTTCTCTCAATGCTCACATCTCCTAAGAGCCCCACATATCTGTCCCTTTTCCTTCCCGCTTCCAGCTTTTCACACCTTTTTCTTTCCCTTTACTCACCCCTCCCTCCCAGGTTCATTCTTTTTGCCTCCCTTCTATCTGAGACTCTGTTGGTATTGCCAGGTACCTTCTTTGCACTTTTCTTTTGAGGAAACTGGTTTTGCTGTATGACTGCCACCTGTACTGTGTCTTTTTTATTTATTTATTTATTTATTTATTTATTTATTTATTTATTTATTTATTTATTTATTTATTTATTTATTTATTTATTTATTTATTTATTTATTTATTTATTTATTTATTTATTATGTTTACAGTCTTCTGCATGCCAGCAGAGGACACCAGATTTCATTCAAGGTGGTTGTGAGCCTCCATGTGGTTGCTGGGAATTGAACTCAGGACCTCTGGAAGAACAGTCAGTGCTCTTAACTGCTGAACCATCTCTCCAGCTCCGTATTGTTTTTTTTATAATATCTCTTTGCTTGGGCTAACTGTCCATAGGCATCTTGACAAAGGCCCAGACTACTTCACCAGTGTAGGTGCTTCCTCAGTTATGGTGATGCTGTCAGCCACTGGTCATTGGCAGGATCCATGAAAGTCTTTGGATGCTCCTGGATGCCACAGGATATTTCCCTTGTCTGCTTTTCTCACTAGGTAGATATCTATGAAGAAGTGTTTCTTGTGACTGCCTGCCCCCTTCCAAGAATGTCATGGTACATGTTGTCTTTTCTCTGTTTTCCAGCTCTCAGAATGAAGGTGCTGACCTAGTTGCCTTTCAGAAGTGCCAGTTTAAGATTCATATATCTGGCCGGGCATTGGTGGCGCACACCTTTAATCCCAGCATTCGGGAGGCAGAGGCAGGCGGATCTCTGTGAGTTTGAGACCAGCCTGGTCTATATATCTGTAAGCATTCTTGGGTTGAAGGTCTGTCACCTGTTGTGGCTCTCACTATACTTATGAACACCTTGTTCCGTCTTGAGCCAGGCTTGTCTCCTGCTCAGCTCCATTGCCTACTGGAGCCCTCATGTATGTGTCCCTTGGCTTTGCCCAGGCTCCCTGCTGCTGTCTGCAGTCTACAAAGTGGTCCCAGCAGCCTTGCTTCAGTGCTGCAGGGTACAGGTAATGCATGTAGACAGATAGACATCATTTAGATAGACATCATCAAGGCTTATTAACTCTCCCTGAAAATGGAAGCCTGAAATAGGGAAACTTGGGAGGTACAGGGAAGAAAAAAAAGCTAGACACAGTTTTCCAAGACAATTGAAGGCCACAAGCAAAGGGTTTCAGACACCTTGGCAGGCACTAAAAGAACAGCTTTCATGGGTTCAGCATGACCAGATATATTATGTTTTCTCAAGACCACTCTGATGCTTCAGGGAAAGTTCTACCTCATACGTGTGGCTTGTTGGGGCTGTGATCACATTCCACATATCAACTGTGGAGGCAGCCTTTCATTGTTCACTGTGGCATGATACCTAGGCAGGGAGATGTCAGTTGGGCAGTGAGCATAGGATAGGTCTAATCAGGCTCTAAGGCAAGAGTAAGATGAGCAGGGGTGAGGTAGAGAAGGAGCACAGAGAAGTGGGACACAAGAAGGCCTGCATGGTCAGGAGAAGGGTGCAGGGACAGAAGATGAGAGCTGGCAGGTGATCATAGTGTTTCATAGGTTGTGTCTCTGCAAGCAGAAGAACTGGCTACTGGTACAGAGGTGGCTTGTTGGGTTAGGCTTGCCTTGGAGATAGGACAGGGATGGCCCTGTCAGTGTAGCTAGTGCTCGGTATCATCTGGCAGCTGGAAGATTTCTCTTCATGTGATTCCAGGGGTAGCTGCCCAGACAAGTCCTCTCTGCTAGGGTTCTGTTGGATTTGAAACACTACCTCAATCTGTCCAGAAACCTTCAAGTACTGATGGCCTTTCCATTTCCAGGTCCAGGTCCCACCAAGGGTGTCCAGGGCTGTTGCCAGATTTCTAGAAGTTGATGTACTCTGCTCACTTGAACACACCTAAGCCATTGTTCTCATTTCACAAGTAGGAAGGTGAATTACAGTGATGAGCCCAGGAAGTCTGGTTTTTCAGAGCCCCCCTGGCCTGTGTTGAGGGCTTCTGAGGAACATTCACGCAGTGTCTAAGAAATGGCTAACCCAACCTTATTTTTTCCTCAGGACCCTGCAACCACTGTATAGTAGTGCCTATATAATCTATGATCTCCAGTACTCTGAAGTCCTCAAAGGATTGTAGGTCTGGAACCTGCTGGCCCAGACTAGTGTGGCCCGTGTAGAATCTACCAAAGCTGATTAAGAAGGACTATTTATATAAGTGTCAGCATGTCCCATCCCTATGTGTGTTTCCCATCCCCACACCAGGATGTAGTTGCACTTAGGCTAGGCTGGGCCTTGTTTCCACTAGAGGGCACTCTTGACCACCTAGGGCCCCACAGTGATCTTGTTCACAGTACAAAGAAAGAACAGTTACTCTATGGCTTAACTACTGAAATGTGACTTTTCTGTATGGTTGGTGGCCTCTCCTGAGTTGCTTGTGGGGTTAATGAGAGAAGGCTAGAGGAAGTTCAGCATAGTGAGAACATAGCCAATACCGAATGTGGAGCTGGCATTGGGGTTAGAGCCTAGCAGCCTACACCCTTAGGTGTGTCTATACACATGTGCACATGTGACCCAGGAGCCAGGCCCCGAGACCTGTGCCTTGTTCCAGCAGTGGTGGAAAAGTCTGAGTGCTCACCTCTGCCAGCTTAGGGTGACACTAGTACTTTGATCTTTGACAATTCAGTGGGTGAAAAAGATTGTTTTGTTTTCTTAGTTTTTTTCTTCTTTTTTTTTTTCCTTTGGGCGCTGGGGTATGGGGTGGAACCCACAGTCTTGTGCAAGCTAGGAAAGTACCCTACTACTGAGCCCAAGAACATAGTTCTGAAACTTTAAGCCAGGACTCTTGATGTGGTCCATGAATTTGGACAAGGTGGGGTCCCTGATCTCCAGGGTCATAATAGTGGCACTTATGGGCTAGGCCTGAAGCAAAGCCTCTGCCTTAGGTCTGTTTGCTGACTGGGAAGTGGGGCAGGTGTGGAGCCAATCCATCTGTCATGGGAGTCTGCATAATGGTCTTTCTCTGGATGCCCTAAGAGTCTACCTGAGCGGGGATGAATGTCCCTGATAGCCCACCTACCGCATGGCATAACCTCCTCACTAGCTTCTATACATGAAAAAAAGCAGACTTGTAGCCTTCATGAGGGGAAGGGCTATCTTGCTCTTTCTGGTGTGTCATTGTGTAATTAGCACTTCATTTAGCCTTATTATTTGTAAGTTATTCTGAGTTTGAATGTTGGTGATAAATTGATAAAAATCAGACTTTATGGTCCATGAGTCTTCATGTTTTGCATGCTGAAGCATTCTGTGAGATGGTCACTAGGCAGGGACTGTCTGGCCTGCTGTAAAGATAGTGTTAGCCTTTGTTTTTAGTTGTTTCTTTTCTTTTGTTTGTTGGCCTTTTGCTATCCTCACCCTACTTGAATATATTTTCTTTCTTGCTTTCCATTACTGTTTTTGGGTGGAGTAGACATCTCTTTGATGTTGATTTGCAAACACTTGAACTTATGTAATTGTCCCCCTGCTGCTTGGGCCCTTCTCTAGGATGCAGATGACAACCTACAGACCAAGCAAGATAAAGAGGACAGTATTCCTGGGTAACCTAGGGAAGATTCATAATAGAGGGAAGTGGGAGCCTTCTGAGCAGAGGGCATGGCAAATGATAGGGTTTGAAGAAGGTCCGTGTATGCTAGCACATGTATGTCATGGTAGGTCTTAGAGACCCTTGGGAGTCGGAGTAGTCAGAGCAAGACAGGCACTGCTCTGGTTTAGGTATGCTAATGCTAGAACTATGCATGGGCAATACTTTTGCTTGCTTTCTGCCGTTTTTGCCCTTCTACTTTTTGCTATTGATGCATAGCATGAAGATCCTCACCAGATGCCAGCTTCTTGGACTCAGGAATGGGTAGTTGAGTGAGCCTATTATAGTTTCCCATCCAGGTATTAGTGTGTTGCATCAGTATGAAAAGGATCAAGATGGGCTTTGGAGACTTGGATTCAAGAGGGACTTGAGCAAGCTTGACTTTGAGAAGGCTTTCTTTGGCCAAGGGCCAACGTTGCTGTGCCAGGGTCAGTGAGGTGGTGACTGGTAAACTGCCCTATCATGACTGGTTGGTGAGGTGGCTGGCGGTGTTATCAGGTCTTTCCACAGGTGCTGTATGCCAACAGTCTCCCCCGGAAGCCACAGCTTCTCAGTTGCTGCCTTCCTGAAGAATGTGAAGAATAGTCCCTGGCATCTGCTTTGCTGTTCCTCTTACTTTCAGAACACAGGCAACTCCCACATTTACTGCCTTCCCTTCGTCTTTAAAAACAAAAACATTTCTAATTAGAGAGGAATGTGCCTTTGAGGGGACAGCCTGCGTGCCTGGTGACCTGCAGCTTGTGGAACAGGTGGCCAGTGAAGGACCAGTGTCCCATGTCTTTGGAGTGCCAGCCTCCTGCTGTTCTGCCTACCAACTCTTTCCCTGTACAAAATGACTAAGACTGAGTAAAGCCTTTTCAAGGCCTGCTGGTTGTCCTCGGCACCTCTCACCTGGTTATTTGTGACACAACAAACAAGGATAATGCCAGGTACTGAACTAACCTCTCAGATCTTAGAATACACTTGGTGGTTTGTGACGACTCCTTAGAGCCATAGGGCAGGCACAGTCCTTGAAGGGGTATATATCATGCTGTGTGATTGAAGCTGCGCTTCTGCAACAGTGGGCTTGGGATTTCCCACCTGCATCAGGTTAAGTTCCTGATGGAATAAAACAGTAACCAGTCCTCAGTGGGGCTCTCTGCATTGGAATCCTCTGCACTCCCTTCTGGAGATACCTCTTACCCTTCCATGGAGGTTCACTTTTATTTTCTTCTGATAGGCAGTTTCTCTGTATTTCTCTCTGAAAGCCCTACTTCTCTGTATTTCTGTATTTCAGACCTTTCTTTTAAAAAAAATAAAAACCACCAAAACCCTATTCCTTTCCAGTTTTTTGGTTCGAGTACCACAGTAAAGCCTCTGTGAGGGCTTCCTTGCCTGGCATATAATGGAAGGACAGGACTGGAGGGGCCTCATAGCCCAGTACTCGGAGAGCAGGCACCTGGTAGGCTCTGAACGACTCTATCCATCTGGCCAGTTGTGTCAGAGCTGCTGCCTCCCTCTTGTGTAGGGCTCCCTACCTCCTTCCTGTGTACTGAGCCAGGCTAAATTTTGCAGCTGAGGTTTTTATACCACCAGGAGGGAGGGGCAGCTTGGCAGGGTTGGCCATCACCCTTTCCTGGCTGCCTGTGCTCAGGGTCTGTGCAGTTTGGTGACATGCCAAGGGTGTGTGATAGGCAGGATGTTACAGTCTTCCTGCTGTGAATGGACTTGGCTTTGGAACCTACAAGCTCCTGGGAATAGTGAGCAGTCAGCTTGGTGGGTGTAGGGCCCTCCTGTGATTGCAGGTGAGCCTAAAACTGGTTCTGTGCCTCTCCAGTATAGGGCATGTTTCAGCCACAAACACAAATCTTCCTTTCTCCCTAGACCTCCTTTCCTCTCTCGCCATGTGTGATAGGTAGTCTGTGAGTGTAGGGCATCAGAAGGAAGAGATGTGAAGGCCCCTTAACTAACACTCCTGCCCTCTTGTTGGTACATCAGCTAGGCCAGACAGGATGACTGTAGCCTCCAACAGCTTCTTTAATTTTCTAGCTTTTGGTGGGGCATGAGCTTGAAACAGAAGGATTTGGGTAGCATGGTGATGCTTTTTTTTTTTTCTGCCTTCTAAATTTACCCTAGAATTCTGGTTTTTCTCCTCTTCCCTCTTGATTGTGCCAGGCAGTACTTTCTTTCCAGCCTTACCTTGTTGCTGCTTCCTCATAATCAGTGCCTCACCTTTAGGAGGCTGTTTGGCCTATACTCTGGCCCCTGTGAGTTCTCTACTTGCTGCCTTGAAGGTGAGGCTCTTCCTGATTTCTTGTGGCTGAGTTGTGTCAGTTTGCAAGGCATATAAGGGATTCCACTTGGCCCCTCTTGGAGCTGAGGTACCCTGGCTTGCTGCCTAC